TGTCAACAATGAGCAGTCACGAGACTTGACTTCAGAGACACTCGTGACCAGAACTGCTGGCAGGAGCGCGGGGACCTCCTTTCAATGTCAGCTGCCGCCACAGCCACGGGGTGCGGTCCCACCTCCGACTTCAAGGCCCCTCGCAAATGAGACCACGAGTCGACCGATGCACAACGAGTTTAATGCCGCGGCTTCCTGCCGTCTGCGGTGCGTCTCCACGTCTGTGCGACGCCAAAGGGCCAGCCTGAGGCCCGCTCTGCGGCTCAGCACAGTCCGAGGGCCAGCGACGCAGCGGCGAGCGCCAGGAGCAGCACCAGCCCCGCGCGGCCGCCGCCCGTGTGGCCGGCTCCTCTGTAGTCTAGCTCTGTGTCGTTGATGAACGGCGAGTGGATGTTGCACAGGCTTGACCGACAGCACATGGCGAACAGGAAAGGCATGGGCTTCACGAGCACGAACGGCCTGACCACCACTTCCTGGACAGGAATGACGGGACAGGACTTCGCGCACTGCCGCGTGACGTAGATGAAACGCACGAGAACTCCTGGTGGGGGACACAGACACACAGAGGGAGGGTCGCGTGAACCGAGCACAGTGCTGCCCGGCCCCGGCCCTCCTGGTGCCCGTCCCCGCCCAGAAGCCCACGCCGGAGGGCGGCACCCGGGGGAGTCAGGAGCCATGGCCGCAGAGGAAGAGGGCCGGGCCCAGCCCACGTCCTCACGGCCGCTCCTGGGGGCGTCTGGTGTGCTGCATGCCCTGGGCAGGTGCACAGGACACCTGGCCCGGGGTCTCCCTCTGGGTGCAAACAGGCCACCTAGGCCTCAACGTCTCAGACACAGGGCCGCTCAGAGCTCTGGGGTCACGGGCAGACACAGGGGAGATGGAGACCCCCGCCGTGCTGGCCACTGCCCAGGGCTTGGAGCTGGCCTCAGTGAGCCGCTGCCCAGAGCCTGGGTGTCAGAGCTGTGACCGTGACCCTGCCACACGGGCACGGCTCGGTGATGGGTCACGCCTGGGCTCACAACTTCACCTCGCCTTGTGTTTCATGGTGCAAATCACACTTCTGCACTAAGTTCTAAGGTCCACGTGAGGCTAAAATGAGGCTCCAGCCTCAACGCAGCACCCCACGTTTCCTGGAACGTGGGAGGCCCCCCCGAAACTGCTGAAGAACCGAATCTGAATTCCCTAGCCCTGAAGGGGCAAAGTGGGGAGCGATGCCAGGCCTTCCAGAGTTCGAGTGAATTGCAGAGGGCAGGCAGGGGTCGAAGACGTTTTAAAGCACACACGCCCCTCGCCCCTGGTTCCCTACGTCCTCCTGAAAGCTGCTCTCAGCGGGACGTCTGAAGTCACTAGGACTGCGTTTCCTCATTCAGAAGTAAAAGAAAAGAAAGTCCTGCCCTTTCCTCCCCACACCCCACATTTCACCTTGACCGACGGGTGCCGTGTCGCCGCTCTAGGCACCGCCTTTACCGCGCGGGCCCCCGCGGCACCCGCTGCCACGCCTGGCTTCTCGGGACTCGCTGCTTCTAGTTAAAACGAAGGGCCCTTCGCACGATGATCACGCTCTGCTGCCCACACCAAGACAGACCCTACTTCTTCAGCGCTTTCTATGGCCCTGCCTCTGGGGCCCAGTGTCGCCTGAGGTACAGTCGACCCTCACGCCACTCGGGGCTTAGCGGGGCAGAGCCCTCTGGCAACGCACACCCCAGCTGTAGTGACCGTCGCCCCACACGTGGATTCCCAGCTTGGAGCCCGGCTGCACGGACGGGTCTGAACCGGGCAGCTCAGCCGGGAACCTGCCCGAGTGGTCCCGTGCCCTGCAAGCGGGCTGTCCGAGGGCCAGCTCTACACTCACGCACGGCAGCGGTGACACAGTAGATCTCATGTTGGTCACAGGTGACTGGATTAAAGCAATTGAAGTTGTCGTACGCTTCGCAAACGTGACACTGTATTTGACCTGAAGGAGAGACGAGAGAGACAGTGGCATGCTGCAGACCCCCGGTCCTGCCGGGGGGACGCCACCAGACTCCTCTCTCCATCCTTCAAGGGGGCACCAAAGCGGTGGGTCCCCTTTGCCCCACGCCCCACAGCCCCCACCTCATCCCAAGTCCTCTGTCTTCTCTCCTGAGCATCCCTCAGGCACCCGCACCCAGATACACAGCACACAGACGTGCACCGCCGCTCACACACGTGCACACACACGTGCACACAGCCCTGGCTCCTCGCTCTCTTCTGCTCTAGGAAGAGAAGCTCCAGACCTTTGCGTCTGCTCCCATGTGCCCTCTGCCCTTGCTGGCCCACCACACCTCCTCCAGCTGCCAGCTCCCCGCTTCTGGTCCCCCAGGCCCCACGTCCTCACTCCAGCACAGCCACCTCCCATCTCTGCCAGGACAGGAAGTGCTCCTGGAGGAGGACTGCCCACTCCTGGAAGCTCTCCTGCTCTCAGAGACAGCGTGCAAGGCCCAGCCAGGACACGGCCAGGCTTGGGGACAGCCTGATGTCTCCCAGAAGGACAGGGCTCCTAAAGAGGGAGCAGACTGCTAGGGAGCACACCGGGGTTCCAGCTCCGCTGCCTGCCCCCTGGCTGGGGCTCCTGGGATG